TGGAAAACAGCATGGACGATTCTCAAAAAATTAGAAATTGAGCTCCTATTTGACCCAGCAATACCACTCCTGGGAATATATCCCGGAGAGGCAAAAAACTACAGTCAAAATGACATTTGCACTTCCATGTTCATTGTTGCACTATTCACAATAGCCAAAATCTGGAAAAAACTGGAGAACAGATGACTGATTAAAGAAACTTTGGTACATATACACAATGGAATACTATGCAGCTGTTAGAAAAGATGAAGTCATGAAACTTACATACAAGTGGTACTGCATGGAAAGTATCATACTAAGTGAATTGAAAGAGAGGGACAGACATAGAAAGATTGCATTCATCTGGGGAATGTGAAATAACAAGATAGGAGACTAACTTCCAAGAATGGCCGAGATAAATACCAGGAGGTTCACTCTATGGCTTGGAGGCCAGCCGCACATGCTAGGGGAAAAGGCAGCTCAGATAGAGAATGGAGCACCAAATAAAGGGTGTTGGGAGGATCCTCCCAGGATGGGAGATGCATGCTGAAAGTAGACTATAGACTGAACATGTTTGCCACTCAATACCTCCTTTGCAAACCACAGCACCCAAAAGGAGAGAGAGAGAACAAAAGGGAATACCCTGCCACAGGGGTGGGGTGGGATGGGGGGGAGCAGGGGCGTGAGAGGGATACTGGGATCAATGGTGGTGGGGAATGGGCACTGGTGGAGGGATGGGTACTCAATCATTGTATAACTGAAACCCAAGCACAAAAATTTGTACGTCTACAACTGTACCTCATGATGTTTCACTAATAAAAATTTTTAAAAAAGCCAGAGAGCCAAAACAAAACATCCTAAATCCTCATAGAAAAGTGGCAATGAATCCCAATACATTGGAATCCCCAGTCAAGAGTTACAGATTATGACTGGATGGGGAAGCAAAATCCAATCTTCTGTTGTTTACAAGAGATATACTTGAACAGCGACAGTAAACATAGACTCAAAGCAAAAGGCTGGGAAATAAAATCAAGTAGGTGCAGAATAACTTTTAAAAGGGCAGAGACAACTACACTTGCGTGAGTCAGCAGAGAGTTCAAATTTAAATTTGGTAATAAGAAATAGGGTTGGTTCGTGGAGGGATGGGCGCTCGAACATTGTATAATCGAAACCCAAGCACAGAAATTTGTAAGTCCACAACTGTACCTCATGGTGTTTCACTAATAAAAAAAAATAAAAAAAGAAATAGTGTTGGACATTATGTACTGATTAAGATATTAAGTGAAGTTAGCTCTTTCCAGCAATATGCACCAAATGAAGATATAGCAATGTTTTTAAAGCCACTACTTACAGAATTGAGGAGGAGCTACATTAATTGCAAGTTGGTAATAGTAGTAGTAATAGAAGATGAAGTCGATTAAAACCTCATTCTCATTCACTGGACAGGTCACTCAGGCAGAAAATCGGTGAGAAAACAGTTGCCTCCGTGTATCTAAAGCTCAACTATTAAAATTTTGTAAATCGTGATTTTTTTTAATAAAATAAAAAACTTTAATAAGGTAAAGGCCCTCCCATTGATCGTCGATTTGTTTGAGCAGGCCCAGTAACGTCTCCATTGGAGACCTTGTTGTTACTGTGTTTGGCATATCGAATATGTCACGGGGAGCTTGCCAGGCTCTGCCTTGCGGGCGAGATACTCTCGGTAGCTTGCCGGGCTCTCCGAGAGGGGCAGAGGAATCGAACTCGGGTCGGCCATGTTGGCCGCTTGTAAAGCGAACACCCTACCACTGTGCTATCACTCCAACTCTTTAATTAAAAATTAAATTAAAAACTAGCAGTTAGAGTGATAGCACAGCGGGTAGGGCATTTGCCTTGCATTTGGGCGACCTGGGCTTGATTCCCAGCATTCCATATGGTCCCCTGAGCACCACCAGGAATAATTCCTGAGTACAGAGCCAGGAGTAAGCCCTGTGCATGGCCAGGTGTGACCCCCCCCCCCCCCCCAAGCAAACAATAAACAAAAAACAAACAAGTGAACCACTCAAAAAGAATAAATTGGAATGGCTGGGCTTAAGAGACAGATGGGACCTCCCACCGCCTCAAAATCAAATACACAGGGACAGAGCAGTAGTACAGCAGGAAGTGGGTTTGCCTTGCAGGCAGCCAACCTGGGTTCAGTCCTCAGCATTCCATAGGTTCCTCTGAGCACCACCAGGATCAGTTCTTGATTGCAGAGCCAGGAGAACCTCTGAGCATTGCTGGTTGTGACCCCAAAAGCAAATCACAATCACAACCATCCTGTTATTTGTCAATTGCCTCGAGTAGGCCCCAGTAACGTCTCCTTCGTCCTAGCCCTGAGATTTTTTTTTTTAAAGTGCCATATTCAAGGCTCTTTCAGAGTTAGGAGAATGAGACCCGTCATTGTTACTGGTATTTGGCATGTTGGGTATACCACGGGGAGTTTGCCAGACTCTGCCGTGTGGGCAGTTTACATTCGGTAGCCTGCCAGTATGTCCAAAGTAAGAATGAGATGATAAGATGTCGCAAGGTCGCAAATGCGGCCGTGTGCTTCTGGGAGCTGGGTTTTATAGTCTCTGAGTCTTGGCCGTTGATGGGATTACACGGTGCCAGGGGGCCAGTTGGTGGGTGTGACCCCCACCTACTGGAATTTGGAGGATCTGGGTGGAAACTCCCCAAAACCAAAACCAAGTATACAAATACACATTTGTCTCAATGGACATGGAACAGTTTTTAGGGTAGAATGCATGCGGGGACACAAAACAAATGTCCACAAAGTTAGAAATCATATACTGCAGTGCCACGAAGGTAGAAGGTAATTATGAAAAACAAAGCTAGGTGAAGCGCGAGTGTTTGCAGAATGAAGGGAAGCAGGAAGCACAATATCTTCATATTTACTTTTCTCCCATCATAGTTATTTTTGCTAGTCATAGTGTTTCATAGTTCCAAATAAATCTTAAGTTTTCGGGTTCTACTTATATGATGAACAGTTAGGATTTTGATAGGTATTGTGTTGAGTTTATAGGCTAGAGCGATAGCACAGCGGGTAGGGCGTTTGCCTTGAACACAGCCAACATGGCCGACCCGAGTTTGATTCCTCCGCCCCTCTTGGATAGCCTGGCAAGCTACCGAGAAAGTATCTCGCCTGCATGGCAAAGCCTGGCAAGCTCCCCGTGACGTACTCGATATGCCAAACACAGTAACAACAAGTCTCACGATGGAGACGTTACTGGGCCCGCTCAAGCAAATTGGTGAGGACAGTAACAGTGACAGTGTTAAATCTATATATTGCTTTAAATAATAGAATGATTTTCACAATGTTCATCAGTCTGTAAGGAATGTCTTTTCACCAGCCAACTCCTCTAGCTACTTAGGCCAGTCGTAGCAGTTTATGGGATGAAAGAAGGTCTGTAAGGAGCCGGCTGTTATTGTGACTATGCTTCGTGGGGGCCTGACTCATGTTCATGACACTTCCAATACCCATCATCCTGGGGTCCCAGATCTAAGACTCACTAGTCTGTCTACTGATATTGTAGTTCATGAGCTCAATACAGGTCCTAAGTCCTAAGTGGTGGTGGAGGAGATGTATATTCTGGTACAGGCTTCTTAGACTTTTTCCAGTGACCCCTTTTCACCTCAGAAAATTTTATGCAGCCACTGGTGACTAGGTATCAAGCAGTTAGGCGAATCAAACATTTACTGGTAATAAATCACAAAGAAATTGTATTTTAAGCAGTTGGTGGGAGGTAGGCCTTGCTCAAGCAACTCTTAGGAAAGAGGCCTGCTCCTTCCCGGGATTCTTGGCTAGCTGAGCCAGCAGTCTTTCAATGTGAGGGCTGAGAAGGTGCTGCTGCTTGGGGCCTGTCTTCCTGAGTTACGGGCTTGCCTCATGGTACTGAGGGACCATGAAGGGCCGTGCTCTGTAATTCTCTGGAGACCACATGATGCTGGGTACAGCGTATTCCCCAATCACCATGCCATGTCACAGGCCCCAAAACAACTTAAAGATTTTTTGCAATCTCCACATTCAATGATGTCACCTCCTAAGGGGCGTGTCCCACAAGGAGGCTGGGTTTTAGGGCGGGAGGGTTGATCTGGTTATGACATCTTTAGTTGAGTCAACGGATTGGCTTGGCTTGGCAGGTGTCCCCTTCTTGTTTTGCTCCATGCCCCTACTGAAGTTGAGTTCTCTGTCGAAGAGGACGGCTTTCTCCGGACAGAGATGGACAATTCTTCCATCGAGGGTAGACAAGCAGCTGTACCTCCATGCCAAAACTTCCCCACAGGCTCAAGACGCTGATTCCAGAATCCTCTCTCTCTCTCTCTCTCTCTCTCTCTCTCTCTCTCTCTCTCTCTCTCCCCACAGCTCCCACTCCTCAGACTTGACCCGAGCTTAGGGCATGTGCCTCCACACTGTCTCTGCTCTTTCTTTTCCAGGACTCATGGCTCGTCTGGCAGCTTTTCTGTGCCCCCTGCCCCCAGACACCACCTCTGCTGCCCCATCTTCACACTAATGTGTGGATTTTCTCAGCTTCCTCTCTAGTGCATGCGAATTTGCCTCTGAGCTGCTGGCACTGTTTCACCACTGTACTTTGGGATTCTCAGCAGGGTCTCTTTCTGAATAATTGCTGCTCTCTCTCAGGAGCAAACTAGGGAACCTCCTCTGTCACCATCTTGGCAGCTTCTCCTGATCTCACCATATGGGAGCATTGCATACCTGTTCTCTTATTTAGTCTTATTTGATTTACTTCAGCAGCACTTTATGAATAGTTAATGATGTGAACACCTTTCCATGATTTTTTTTTTTAGATTCTGTGTCTGTATATTTAAACTTTTTACCTAGTTTAACATTTTAAACTTTTTTGTTATTGAACTCTGGTATGTAGTTGTTTAGCGACGCCATCATGTCAACTCACACTATTGATAATATGAAGAACAAACTATTTTTCAAGGGATTTGGACTTTCAGGACCGCTTCTGTGATTCCTATTTCTTTTTCTGCAGGTGTTGCTGTGTCCCTGGAGGTCTCCGAGAGCCCCGGGAGTGTGCAAGTAGCTCGCGGTCAGACAGCAGTCCTGCCTTGTACCTTCACAACCAGCGCTGCCCTTCTTAACCTCAATGTCATTTGGATGGTCATTCCTCTCGCCAATGCTAACCAACCCGAGCAGGTAATCGGGTGCCAACCCCTGCTACCACTGACACACAATTCTCCTAAGTTCTAGTACTTTGAGGGAAATCTGAAGTGTATTTGAAGAGTTAGGGGAAAAAGAAAATAAAATCTAAAAGGGATTGCACAAGGACAAGAATGTTTTGAAGCAAAGGAAGAACTTCTTCAATGGAAAAGGGAAAATCAGAACTAAAGATAGAGAAACAGCAAAGATAGGGAAAATGACAGGGTCTAGAAAATGAGAGGAGAAGTTCTTATTTCTTGAAACACTTTGTGAACCACACACTTCACAGTTTAGAAGCAGCTGAGGCGGGCAATAATGACTGTATATCAGAGGAGCTTGTCTTTCTTTCTCGCTGAACTTAGGCCTCAGACCTAAATAGGTCTTCTCTATCCCAAGCCAGATTTCCAACCTGAAGCTGTCCTTAGGCTTGTTTTTATTTATTTATTTGATATAAAGCATATTTTAAAAAGTCCATAGCATTGAACTTTTGGTGGTGATTTAATGTGGTATAATACATATTCTGATTTTAAATGATGCATGCCTGAAACATAAATGTTACAATACAGTCTGCTTCAGTTAAAAGAGAAAAAAGAAGGTTCACATTATGATTTTATGTAGAAACTTGAAATTTGTGTGTCTAATAAGCATATCTATTGTAAAAGTGAAAAATACAGGGGAGGGAGGTATGGTGCTGCCAGCAGGTCAATCTATACCTGTGAGGTGAGTGCATCAGCAGCCTGATGTCACCATCAGACTTTTAGATACCCCAAAATTGCTGCAATGCCTTTGGCCAGACTCCAACAACTTGGGGCAAAGTTTACCAAGAAAGTAAATGGCCAAAAGTTAGGTATGTGGGAGACACACCCACAAGCCACCTCTGGCTCAGCTATACAATTGGAGGCATGACCTCTCTGGTTCCTGATGGAACTATTTAACCGCCATGATCCCAGAGACTCTGAGTCTTGGCCGTTGATGGGATTACACGGCGCCAGGGGGCCAGGTGGTGGGTGTGACCCCCGCCTACTGGAATTTGGAGGATCTGGGTGGAGGATGCTCGACTCCAATCCGAGTAGGCTTGGAGATCTCGGCCCCGGAACCCGCGTGGATTTGTCCCTCTGCCAGTACCTTCATGTGTGCGGAGAGTGGTCTCAGCATGGTGGTGGCTGGTCCTGGAGGTCTTTGGAGAACAGTGCAGTCTTCTGCCCCTGTGCCTGGCTGTTCCTCACCGGGGCCCCTTGGAGGGGAGCAGGTTGAGCTTTCCTCCCCGCCCTGACCAGGGCTCCGGCAGCCGAAGACCTCCAGGACCAGCCACCACCATGCTGAGACCACTCTCCGCACACATGAAGGTACTGGCAGAGGGACAAAGTCACGCGGGTTCCGGGGCTGAGATCTCCAAGCTTACTCGGATTGGAGTCGAGCATCCTCCACCCAGATCCTCCAAATTCCAGTAGGCGGGGGTCACACCCACCACCTGGCCCCCTGGCGCCGTGTAATGGCCAAGACTCAGAGACTATAAAATTCAGCTCCCGGAACCGCTCGGCCGCATTCGCGGCTGTGGACATCTTATCAGGACATCTTTTTTTTTTTTTTAATGACATCTTATTATCTCTTTCCTACTTTGGACAAACTTGCAGGCTATCGAATGTAGCCTGCCCACAGGGCAGAGTCTGGCAAACTCCCCGTGGCGTACCAAATATGCCAAATACCAGTAACAATGATGGGTCTCATTCTCCTAAAGAGCCTTGGATATAATCTCAGGGCTAGGATGAAAGAGGCGTTACTGGGGCCTGCTCGAGGCAATCGACGAATAACAGGATGATGGAAAAAAAAATGAAATGATCCCAGAGACTCAGAAACGAATCTCGGAACCCAACAGCTTTTGGCAGAACTGTGTCCGGTCCCTGTAGTAGGTTACTGGTGTCAGGCCACCCCAGGTGGGAATAGGTTTCGTGCCTTGGCCTGTCCCCACTAACGGCCTGGTGACTGCCATCCTCCAGAGGCCACTGGACAATCAGGTTTGGGCCTGCAGTGACGAGTCATGCAGGGCCTTATGCAATGGGGGTGGAGCTGGACCTTTCCTCTCTGTCCCAATGAGACCTCGAATCGCCACCCACAAATGGCCTCTCTGGCTCCTGATCAAGCTGCTTAACAGCCATGATCCCAGAGGCTCAGAAACAAATCTCAAAACCCAACAGCTTTTGGCAGAAATGCGTCCAAACCCCACAGTAGGTTACTGTCACCAGGCCACCCCAGGGGGGAAAGGGTGCTGTCCCTCCACCTGCTCCCCGCTGGTGGTCTGGTGGCCGCCATCCTCCAGAGGCCACTGGACAGTCAGGTTTGGCCTGCAGTGACGAGACACATGGGACCTTGCAGGATGGGGATGGATCCGGCCCTTTTCTCCCTGTTCTAAGGAGACCCCGAGTCACCGCCCACGAACGGCCTCTCTGGCTCCTGATCAAGCTGCTTAACGGTCATGATTCCAGAGACTTAGGAACAAATCTAGGGACCCAGCAGGTTTTGGTCGAAATCCCTCCAGATTTAATTGTTAAAATTTCAGAATTTCAAAATCGCACAGCCACTGCTGAAGCCGCACATCATCATATGTTATTCATAACCAGCAATAGAAAACAAATTGTCTACTGTTGCTTTTTGGGAAGATCTGAGTATTGGGGTATAATCCCAAATAATAATGGTAGGTCTGGTGTTAAAATATTGAATGTAATCAAAGTAGAGAGAGAGTGATGTGGAAATCATCTGCCCCACAAGTAGGGGGAGTGTGTGGGATGGGGGTATACTGGGGTTGTTGGGGGTGGAGAAAGGGCATTGGTGAAGGTACGGGTGTTTCATTGTATGACCAAGACTTAAACCCGAAAGCTTTGTAACTGCTCTCACAGTGATTCAATAAATAAAATTATAAAAAATGGAAAAAAAAGTAAGGTGGAGTTCATGGCCAATTCAATCAGCCTAATCAGTGGCTGAATAAATAGCAGTACTCCTACATTTAAAAGAAAAAAAAATAATTTGAAGTGTTTTGTGAGTTGAGAAATTTTGGAGGGAGCTTGGAAAAATGTATTTATGTATTATGATTTTGAGTAAGCTCTCTGGAAGCCTAAAACATTTCCTATGTGATTATATGTATTCTAAATGAATTTTGTTTCTTTTGGTAGATGCTTATTGTCAGTTTCAGTGTTATAAGCATTTTAACAGTGTCAGTGTTATAAGCATTTTAAAAAGTACATTTATTTTTCTGTCAAGACCAAATGTTTAAAAACGAAGTTTTGATTGCAGGTCTCGTTATTTATTAGCTACAGTTGTGAATAGTAAATGGATAATTTACTCTGTGTGTTGTACTAAAAAGTAGTAACTGTTGATAGTGGTTAATTAATAGCTGTAGCCTTTAATCATTATTAATATATTGGCCTCATAAATTGCTAGATGAAAGATGTGTTATCGGGAAAAATAGTTTATGAATAAATAATTCTCCAGGCTAAAGATTTTCCTCTTCCTTTATAAAAAGAAATACAGTGGAAACTTCTTCCCTTTTCTGTTATTTTCTAAAATTTTTTTAAACATTCTGGTTTACAAGGATGTTCCTGATATAGCCGTTTCGGGCATTCAGTGTTCCATCCCCACTCCCGCTATCAGTGTCACCTTCCGTCCACCATTGGCCCTGGTTTCCCACCCACTCTGCAAGCTTTCCCCCTTAGAGAGAAAAAAATAATTTATTTTGTATTGCTTGTTACAACAAAATGGTAAATGGAATTAACAAAAAATAGAAAAATAGTAAAACAAAATTGTGAAAAGAGTTAAAGTTCACAACATTGTTACTAAAGTCATGGGGGATTCCTGAGCTGTGTGTTGCTAGTTGAGCCTTCTCTTTTACTGTTTTGGCTTCTTGAGCTTAGTGGGCTTTCATGCCACTTTTGCATCTAATTTGCTGTGCTCCTACTGGTTTGTCAGGGTAGTGAGATTTGCCAGTGTCCGGTGGCCAAGTACGTGACCATGCACTTCGGGAGCCGTAGGAGTGTCCGGTGGCCAAGTACGTGACCATGCACTTCGGGAGCCGTAGGATCATTCGAACTGGGAGGGTTCTTGGTCTGGCCCCTTCCCAAGGAGACCCTAGAGTTTTCAGGCTGAAAAGACGGGTGTCTCTGGGAGTGTTTTTGGCTTTGTGTCTCTTCTAAGATTAGCCATGAAGCTGTCTGCTTAAACATAATTTTTTTTTATCAAAAGACAAACGCTTTTGATAAAGTAAAAAATGCTGGGACAGAAATGGCAAAACATATTTTGACAGCGAGTGACTAGCACTAACACAGGTGGGCGAGAGAATATTTTCTAAAGATAATGATTTTATTAAAGAAGTTTCATGTGGTGGTAATGCTTGGTTTATTTGTCTAATATTACTAGTATTTTATAATTAAATGTAGCTGGGCATACTCGCCTGCTTGTACATGAAAACAAGCTACTCCCTTGGAATCTGCATTGAAGGTAAAAGACTCATAATTTGTGTACCTACTACATAAAACAGTGCTTGAAAATTAATGAGACGTAAGGGTAACAGTCATGGACTTGAAAGCCTTCTCTTTTATGGCATTTATTTATATTTATCAGAGATTTGGTGACCTAGTCAACTTGAGAATATCAGTGCTAATTTTTACAATAAATTTTATTTTGGAATTATTTTTCTGAACTGATAAAACTAGGTACAAATAGTTTAGTAGCATTAAAGTCTTTCATACATGATAGTGAGTTAGACGAGATAAAAAAGAAAGGAAATAAAAAAGAAGACAGTTACTCCAACCTGGTTTGAAAAGAATATAGAACCGCAAGGTATCTATCTGTGGACAAATTCTATAGTAAAGAGCTGGTAGCTAGCTACTCTTACTAGAAAGAAATGGTCTCATATTTGTTACAGTCTGCTTTATCTTAGGTATTTATTATATCTCCAGAAGTGGGTGCCATGGTCGTCTTGCTTATTTTGCTTTCTCCTTCAGGTCATTCTGTATCAGGGTGGGCAGATGTTTGACGGCGCCCCCAGGTTCCACGGGAGGGTTGGCTTTACAGGCACCATGCCTGCCACCAATGTCTCCATCTTCATCAACAACACCCAGCTGTCAGACACAGGCACCTACCAGTGTCTGGTCAACAACCTGCCAGACCGAGCAGGCAGGAACATCGGGGTCACTGGTCTCACAGTTTTAGGTGAGTGACAGAAAGTGTTTCGGGCACTGCCGCTTTACTTAGGATCTACTTGGAAGCATCTTTACTTTGACTTGTCCTCCAGGTAATTGGTTGCTGCTTCTTTTCCTTTTTCCTTTCCTCTCAGCCCCCTCTTGACTTTTCCCCTCATCCTGATAGTCACCTTTCTTTATTCCCAGTAGCTTTCTAAAACATTTCTTAAATCAGTTTTTTTCTGTACATGGAGAAAGAAGGTATGGAATATGCTCAGAAATGGCCTTTTGCCATTCTTTAGATTCTTCAGTACAGGTCTGGAGAAAACATTGGGATTGCTCGTATTAATTTTGAGAATAACCACTGCAGTTTTGAGCTATGTGACACCGAATAGGGTCATTACAATTCTCAGCTTACATCTGCTGTCCTGGCATTGTTTTAATAGTGCCTCCTTTTGTTTGATTTTTATTTTGTTTGGGGGCCACACCCAGTGATACTCAGGCGTGAGAGGCAAGAACCTGTTCCCGTACTATAACTCCAGTCCCATGATGATGACTTTTTTACTTTCAGAAATATCCTTGTTTGAATGAGAGATTTCCCTCATAAACATATGATCTATTTGGTCTCAGTATTGAGATTTAGAACCTCTTTCAAACTTATATAAACAATGAACACCAGTAAAGTTTAAATTAACATGTAATTCTTAACCAGAGCTCTTCTAGTAAGTAATTTAGGGATGAACAGAGAGTTCAGTGGAGTAGAGCACATGCTTTTCATCCCGAAGACCCACTTAGGTTCTATCTCTGCCACTGCATGATTCCCTGAGCACTGTTCCAGGTGTGAATCATGAGCACTGAACCAGGAATAGCCCCTGTACCACAAGTGTAACCCCAAAACAAAGAAAAAGTTGAATGGCTGTACAATACGCATCGTATAACATTTATTATGCTATAAGTGTCTATTTCGAGCTTCAGGTGTCCATTTCAGTATTTTTAAATCTATTTTGATCAACCTACCATAGAGCATCTTGTACAATATAAACTCTGTATCTATTAATTAATATTTTCCCCTCTCTCAAACACTTCAACTTTGTTTCTGTGAAATTGCCTATTATATATACTTCAACTAAATGGAAACAAAACAGTTGTTTTTTTTTAATGACCAATTAACTCACTTAACACAATGGCCTCAAGACTCATCCATGTTGAAGCATGCATCAGAATTTCATTTAAATACTGAAACTATTTCACTGGGTAGATATACCATTTTTGTCTGTCTATACGTTGACACTTGAGATATTTTTTCATATTTTTTATTGTGATAATGCTACTCTGGATTTTGTTATGTATTCATCCAATGCTGCCCTTAAAAGCATCCTTAATGCGGTATAATACTTAAGGGCAGTATTCCAGGAGGGATTTTAAGAATTCTTTAAGGAAACAGTAAAACCAATACCATAAGAAATCTTGAAAATATACCCAAGGGTGTATCTCTTTCCAATATTTGCTGTCTAGATAATGGATGTTGTAGGCTCAGCATCAAAGTGCGAATTCTGTAAATAGCACTTGACTGTTCACTGTCGTCCCCCATGTGGTACCTTCCTACTATGCTCAAAAACAGTCAAATATGAAGTCCCAGTATACTGAATGTTGCTTTCTTCCCCTGCCCCCATCATCATTCAGCTCATTATAAATACACACATTGTTGCTGGCTTTTCTTATTATAGTTCCTCCTTCTGCTCCACACTGCCAAATTCAAGGGTCCCAGGACATAGGCAGTGATGTCGTCCTTCTCTGCAGCTCAGAGGAAGGCATTCCTCGACCAACTTACCTTTGGGAGAAATTAGACAACACCCTCAAACTACCTCCAACAGCTACTCAGGGTATGTACAATATTACTGTACCACATTCAATAAATTGTTATGGAAATTTATGATCTAAGACTCATGAAAGAACTTTATTAGATTACAATTTACCAGAGTGTATTTGTGACTATCAGTGGAAATTCTTTTCTGTTCTGGAGAAGATTTAAAACAGCTAAATGGGAGTTATTTGTTGTTATAATACTTGAAGAATATAACTGAAAATCTATTTTGTTTTTGATACTGAACTACTGTTTTAGTATGAGAAACATCAACATGGTCATAAATGCTGGTTTGTTTGTTTTATTTTGCTTTTTGGGTCACACCATCCTGTTTTTTGAGGGGGTTGGGTTTTTTTTCTTTTTGGGTCACACCTGGCGATGCTTAGGGGTTACTTCTGGCTCATGCGCTCAGAAATTACTCCTGGCAGTGCTCAGAGAACAATATGGGATGCTGGGAATCGAACCTGAGTTGGCTGTGTGCAAGGTAAATGCCCTGTCCATTGTGCCCATTGTGCTATCACTCCAGCCCCTCAATCCTGTTTTTTTCACCTGAAGTTTAATTACAAGAGGAACATAGGAAAGCAAATGGGAAAAGGCCACAACATAGATCCTGGGAGACCAGGAGTTTATCCCACCAAATTGGTAGAGAGAGAGGAGGTCTGGCCTGGGCCGTGGGAGAGCCCAGTGGTGGTGCCAATGGGCAGAAATGAGGACTGTAGTTTGGATCTCTGCTATCACTCCACTTTCCAAGTGTGATCCTGCAGCACAACTAAGTGTGTGTTCTCTGGCACACCAAAATCAAATGTGTGCAATCACGACTAAAGTGTGCGATCCCCACAAGCTAATCGGAACCCCCTGGTGAACACAGCCAAAGTGTGCAAGCAGCACAATTCACGTGCAAGCAGTGAACCCCAGGATGTTATCCATATCCGTCTCAAAGACAGTCACAAAAAAAGAAGGTGGGGAGCATAAGATAGAATACTGTAAAGACATGTCAAATACAAGTCATTTCAGCTCTCTCAACTTTGTTGATGGAATATCTTTTAAAATACGAGAAAATTTTATTAAACGAAATAAGGCAAAATTACAGCATTTTATAGAAAAACTTCTATTTTAAGGAATTAAAATTAAGCAGACTTGAGCTTACAGTATATAAAGGCATCCTCTTAATTTGCCCTTATTTACATGGCAAGCCTGTCTCTTACAAAAGAAAACAATACACAGTAATGCTGGTATAAAGTGAGTCCGATGGTCAAACACTGTGAAAAGACTCCACCATTTGCTCCTTATCCCCCACAAAGAAAATCCAAAAGCAAACCTCAGAACAAAAAAACCTGGATTGGAGTCTAGACAGGGGAAGTTAGCATTACAGGGCGTTATAGGGAATTATTGAAGCAACTGATAGGATAGATCTGAGTGTAAACTAGATTAGACCATACTAATTGTGTCAATGTTAATTTTTTTTTTTACTTTGTTACGTGCACTGTGATCATATACAAAACTCCTGTTTTTGTCTCTGGGAAAGGTAGCCCAGAGGGCCGGAGTAGGGCCCCTGGTTCAGTCCCCAATACCAGACAACCGTCCTGGTGCCCAGATAGAGCTCTAGTGGCTCTGCTGCCATTGGGGAGACTTCCTGACAAAACAAAATAGAATGTCTTAGTAACACCAAGTACTTAATGATAAAGCAGCATATCTTCTCTTAAGAGGGTCAGAAATATATTTAGAATTTAATAAAAAAAAACTTGATAATCCAATTAGGCAAGTAATAGTAAAATCTGAGTAGATGACACAAGGATGTGCAGAGTCCTTTGTAGGTTTCAAATGATCTAAATGAAATTTACCAAAATGATCTCATCTGATTTTTATGATGATGGTCAAGAGTTGAGTAAGTAGGGGATCATAGGAGCAGGATCCTGTGGCATATGCCTCATTTCTATGCCTGGGAATAGCGAGGTGGATTCAGTGTTGCTTTCTTGGTACACATTTCTAAGGTAAATGAAAAATACGTTTAATATGGATGCTTGAAACACAATGTCGTCATTTGGCCTACACTGGGCCATTGCCCAGGTTTCATTGAGAACATAAAGCATGAGACAGAGATTACAGTCTCCATGACACTGGTTATCAGTTGATGACAGCTTCATTTAGCAGCATCTGAAGATATTTTTGGCAGCTTGATACGATGGTGTTCTGGCAGTGGGTAGAGGCCAAGAATATGTGAAACTGCCTGTAAAGCACAGGATGGCTCACAACAAAGAATTATCCAACCCCAAATGTTAACAAATGATTTACGCTACAATCTGTCGACTACATTAATGGATTTTTCTAATGTTAACATATGCTTAGATTCCTAGAGTGAAGATTATTTAATTGTGTTTTTTTATAAATTGATTTATTTGGTATATTTGCTTTATTTGGTATGCCGAATATTGCTGGAGCGATAGCACAGCGGGTAGGGCGTTCGCCTTACAAGTGGCCAACATGGCCGACCTGAGTTCGATTCCTCCGCCCCTCTCGGAGAGCCCGGCAAGCTACCGAGAGTATTCAATATGCCAGACACAGTAACAACAAAGTCTCCAATGGAGACGTTACTGGGCCCGCTCGAGCAAATCGATGATCAACGGGAGGGCCCTTTGGTATGCCGATAGTATAATAGAATTTTTTGTCTCTATAATCATAAGTCAGAATGACTTATTAATTTTTTCTGTCTTCTGTTCTAGTTTTAATATCAGATGATATATAAGGGAACATAATGGCCCATAAAAATGAGTTGGGCAGCTTTCCCTCTTTTTCTGTTCTCTGAAGCAATATAAATAAGATGAAGCTTAGCGGATGCCTTTGTAGAGTTGGTCTTTCAACTCTGCTTTACTGTTTCATTTATTCTTTTAATTTTCAGCGATTTACAGTATTGCTACTGATAAGGTTTCGTACATAAAACATTTCAGCACCACACCTTTCACCAGACTGTCCTTTCCCCTCCACTGCTGTCCTGGTGTCCCCCCACCCCTGTTTTCTATATTCTCCCCTCTCTACCCTGCTCGGGTGAACTTATTGAAGATCAGTTTTCGGTTTCTGTTTTCTCTGGGTATTTGTTATTTACTTACCGTTTCTTTATAGTGCTTACATGAGAGAGGTTATTCTCTGTCTCGCCTCTTCTGGCTAACTTCCGTCCACGTGATACTTCGTATCTACACAGCCTCAGATTGCATGACTTCATCTCTCCTTAGAATGGAGTCGTAGTCCATTGTGTATATGTGCCCTAATTTCTATATCCAGTCATCTGTTCTTGGAAACGTGCATTGTTTTCAGATTTTGACTGCTGTGAAATTTGGTTATTAAAGTTTGGATCTCACGATTTCAGTGTTTTTTACTCTGTGGTTTGGATGTTTAGCTCTGTCATTCCTTAACACCACCAACATATATCAACCTTGACCCTTTTTTTGCTACTCATCCGTCTCTTTTCCCCCTCCCCTCCCCTCGTTGTCTTTCCGTTTCCTTTTTAAACCTTGGATGAAGGGTGATCATTCAGCTTGTCTATAAGTACAATTTCAAAGTTTAAACGCCATGATTTATGAAGTTGTTCTTAATACAGTTGTTTCAGGCATTCAGCATCCCAATACCAGTCTCCTAGCAGTATTACCTTCCCTCCACCATTGTCCATGATTTCCCACCTATCCAGCAAGCCTTCTCCTTAGCAGGCACAAACAAATTTACTTCATAATGCTTATCACCAAAAAATTACAAATGGGATTACCAAAACAAAAACCCAATAAAAGTAGTTTGTGATAATAGTTTTATCTCACAGTGGTGTTACTGAAGTCCTTGTCTGGGGATTAACTGAACTGTGCTCCTACTGGGAAGTCAGTACTGTGAAATTTGGAGATTGTGAACTCTGGAAGCTGGGAAGCTGGGAAGATTTGGTGGCTTGATAAAGTCTAGTTGTGGAGCTCTGGTATGGGTGGGGTCTTCTGGGCCATCCAGCAGGCAGGGAGTAGGGAGTCTGTCCTTCCGTATTTGGAGAAGGTCTCAGAGTTCTTAGCCAGAAGATCACCATCTATCTAGACAATCTAGAAATCAGTGGCTTGGCATTTTCTCCTGTTTATGTATTTATTTATACTAGTAAATACCACTTCCTCATTCTCTTCTGACCCACAGAGTCTCATTTAATATATCTGCTGTGAATCTTATGGAGTTTCTGTTGTATGTGAGTTCCTTCTTTAATCTTGTTTCTTTCAAAATTTAGTCTATGAGTTTATATATACTGCATCCATTTGTTTATAGTATTGCCTCTGTGAAAATAGAATGTTTTTAAGATGGCAGGTCCTGGAGTCATAGGAAATGTTTTGGAATCCTGGATCCGGAGTTGCTGACTCTGTGATTTGTGCTTTCGTATTCTTGTATCTAAACTGTAAGGATTATAATAACAGCCCCCACCTTCCCAGTGGTAGAATAAAGATTCAGTAAAAACTTGAAATAGCAGCTGGCATGCCTAAGCACTAAATAAATTTTGGCGTTCATTTTAGTGATCATAATATCATTAGCATTACGAATTTTAAAACTACCTATATTCCCCTCATTTTATTTGTAATTGTTTCTTCGTGTTTTATGCCATTTAAAAAAATCTGCTGAACTCAGCTATTGTTTTATCTATCATATTTGATCCCTGTATTAATTTTAGTTCTTCATTTCTTCATTAATTCTTCAAATAGTAGTTTTGAATCTACCAGGTGCATAAGAGATTACCTGTATGCTAGAAATATATCCGTGAACTGAAAAAAATCCTTTCTGCAGTTTTATTTACATTCTAGTAAGTAGAAATAGAACATAATGATTCAGTAGATTGTATCCTTTATTAAAAGGCCTTTGGTGGAAGAAAATGAAAAAAGTTTGGTGGAAGAAAAATAGATCAGGCTGAAATGGATTAGCTAGGGCATCAAGATGCTGCAGCTTTTAGATACAGTGCCTAGAGTAAGAGTGCATAACATTCTAGCACAGGCTTTAAAATGATAAAGAAATAAT